AACTGTATATGAATATCACATTTCTTAATAAGCTGTATTTAATATGTTAACCTATTTTAAGAAAAAACAACAAATGCATAAACTTACCTAGGGGTCCTTTCCCCAGTTTTAATTTAGATAAAAGAAAATGACCATTCAAAGAGCAATAAATCATTTCAGTTTATGCCATGACTTCCTTAAAAGCTCACATAAGCTGCCAATAATACCATCTCTCAATACACAGTATATAATTAAAAACATATTACAGGATTTCTACTTCCCATCCTATGACTGTGTAAGAGACAAGACTTAATCTCCCTCTACAACTAGTAATCTGGACAATATGTAGGAAACAACTGTTTTAAGACATAGGGCAAGAAGTAGCACAGGACTATAATCCCAAAGAGAAAGAGAAAAAAAAACAAACAGGTGAACTCTGCCTTTCTGCTTGGAGGCATAATGCAGACAGACAGCACAGAGAGTTGAGAAAATGTCTCACAGCTCAAGCCAGGCTGAAATAACTGGAAGCTCTGGGGCAGAGTTTTGAAAAAGAGAGGCCTGTACAGAAATGAAGCTCCAGAAACCTGTATAGGAATTCCCTTAAGTCACTGCTGAGAACTAGGCTAAGCAAAAAACAACTGCAAGTTATAAGCTTCCATTTATACTAGAATAAAAAAGAATAAAATACTTAAGGATAAAATTACACAAAGAAGAAGATCTATACAATGAGAACAACAAAAGATTGCTAAAAGAAATTAGACCCCAATAGATGAAGACATCACATGGTAATGAGTTGGAAGATTTAATACTGTTAAGATGGCAATACTACTCAAACAGATCTAGAGATTCAATGCAATTCCTATCAAAATCCTAAGAATGCTTTTTGCAGAAACAGAAAAATCCATCCTAAAATTCATATGGGATCTCAAGGGACCCTGAATAGTCAAAATAATCCTGAAAAAAGCTCATATTTCTTGATTACAAAACTTACTACAAAGTTACAGTAGTCAAAACAGTACTGGCATTAAGACAGACTAATAGAATAAAGAAATAAAGAAATAAAATAAAGAAAAAAAAATATGGTTAATTGATTTTTGATGAGGGAGATAAGGTCATTCAATAGGGGAAGGAGATTCTCTTCAACAAATGGTGCTGGGAAAACTGGATATCCATATGCAAAAGACTTAAACCATGTACAAAAATTAATTCAAAATGGATCAAAGACCTAAATTTAAGAGCCAAAGAGCTAAACCCATAAAACTTCAGCAAGAAAACATAGAGAAAAAGCTTCATGACATTGGGATTTTGCAATTTCTTGGATATGACACCAAAAACATAGGCAACAAAAGAAAAAAACAAGTAAAACTGAACTTCAATAAAATTTAAAATGCTTTTGCATCAAAGGACACTACCAACAGAGTGAAAAGGCAACCAATGGAATGTGAAAAATACTTGCAAATCATATATCAGATAAGGAATTGATATCCAGAATAAATCAAAAACTCACACAACAACAACAAAATTTAAAATAGACAAAGGACTTAAATACACATTTCTCCAAAGAAGATATACAAACAGCCAGTAAACATATGAAAAGATGCTAAACATCACTATGCACTAGGGAAATGCAAATCAAAACCACAATGATATTCCACTTCACACTTATTAGGATGGTTATTATCAAAAAAACATGAAATAACAAGGGTTGGCAGGGATGTCAAGAAATTGGATCACTTAAGCATTGCAGATGCAAACGTAAAACGGTGCAGCTGCTGTGGAAAACAATATAGCAGTTACTCAAAATATTAAACAGAATTACTATGCAATCCAGCAATCCTACTTCTGAGTATAAACTCAAAAGAACTGAAAGCAGGAACTCAAGCAGATATTTGTACACCCATGTTCATAACACCTTTATTCACAATAGCCAAAAGGTGGAAACAACCCTAATGTCCATTAGTGGATGAATGAATAACATGTGGCATTACATACAACAGAATATTATTCAGCCTTAAAAAGTTAGTAAATTCTGACACATGCTACAACATGGATGAACCTTGAAGACACTATGCTAAGTGAAATAAGCCAGACACCAAAGGACGAATACTATATGACTATACTATTATGAAGTAGCTGGAGTACAAGGTGGCCAGAGATTGGGAGGGGGGGATGGGAAGTTATTGTTTAATTGGTACAGTTTCAATTTGAGAAGATAAAAAATTCTGGAGGGAGGTGGTTGTGTAACAATAAGAATGTACTTAATGCCACTTAATTTTACACTTAAAAATGATTAAAATGTTAAACTTTGTTACGTATACTTTACAATTTTTAAAAACAGAAAAAATTTAAAAAAATTATCTGTCATAGGAGGTGAGGGGGGCGGAGCACTAAAATGTTATAGAACTACATTACTTTACAAATTATATCTGCTACAGAACTTTCCAAAACCTATCTTTATCATACTTTGAGGTTTGAGTTTTTCTTTTCGTCACCTGTCTATATCCAACTTGCTACAACTACAACACCTACACATGCTTTAAATACTATCCAATGTTCTCTTCCCCCTCTATTTATTTTGCAAGAATGCCTAGGACCCCATTACTTCCAAAATTAACTCTATGGTTTATTATTTCTATGTGTACATTTGATTTCTATGTGTTTCACCTGCCAGGTGCTCAAGTAATTTGAACTCTCCATGATTTCTACAACATTATAGTTACCAAAATCAAAAAAACTATAAAACCAAAGAGAACTATTATCATATTAAGATGTTTTTAAACTCTTTTTCATGTAAATTTTTACTGTCCCCTAACAAGAAATACTAGCATGGCTTTCAGGAAACAAAGTGCAAAAATATATAATAAAACATTACAAGAATAACTGTCAAACTACTACTGATCCATGCATGTGTTTGTGTGTGTGTATGTGTGTGTGCTGGAGGTGAGGAAGTTCCTAGGAATGTCTGACTGACTTTACAATTAGTAAGGTAGTTCTGGCTGGGTTGTAAAAATTATGTATAATATGTTGGTCTGACTTGACAACATCTTAACACACTTTTAAAAATCTCTAATGATAATAAAAATACAATATATCAATTTGTGAAAGGAAAAGATCACATGAAATGGGTGGGATTTCTCCAGGAAATTCAAAGTTCATAAACTTGGCTATTTATATAAAACTATCAAACCACTTCTGATTTACTTGCTTGTGCAACATTTTCAATCAAACAATGCAGTTATGGAATATTATCTTATATTTCATAGTATCTTATATAAGTATATAATAGTATCTTATATTTCACAGCAGCCCAAAGTGTAGCACATTAGTACCATAAGGAATGAGTATTAAGGAATAAAAAATGTGCTTAAATTTCCTTATCTATTTACATCCCCAACAGAGGCACTTTCAAACTTAGAAGATAGAAAAGAGTAATTTACCTTAAAATACCAAAAGCTAGGCCCCTTGGCTCACTTTAGACAACAGACAAGATCTGAGAGTGGCACAAAAACATGAATTCTAACTCAAAGAGTAATTAGCTCTATGTGCTTGTAATTCATTTATTTCACTATTATTTATTATGATGTTTATTACATATAAGACTCAGGGCCACCACTTTGGAGATACAGGAAGGCTCATATCCATCACCTATCAGTGGTCTAATCATAAAATAAGTTTAACGGTTCTTAAAGCCTATTTTCTGATCCATATGGACATAACACTCTCTTACAAGACTGCTAGGTGAATTACATGATATACAGATACAGGAGCTCAGCTCAAGACCTACACACTGTTCAACAAATATTGGTAGAATTGAATAATAACACAAACAAGAATTCTGACCTCAAAAAGCTTACAATCAAAGGAGATAAGAAATAAATATAATTGTAGTGCTAGATAAAAAGTAATATACTTCTTCATACAATGAATAAAGTATTCTAAGAATTCAATAAAGGAGTAATTATTTCATTCTGTGAAAAAAATGAGCACTTGTTTTGAGTCTAAAAGCATGGGGATGAGAGAGAAACTAAGATGAATTTCTTAAAAGTGGGAAAATCTTTTTTCTTTTTCAAAAGTGCAACTGAGGAAAGCTTAGAGAATCAAAGAAAGAGTAAGTAGTTCCATTTAGCTAAAATAAAACCTATGTGAAAAAATTAAGAAAGTTGAAAAGGTAAGCTGGAACTAGGGCTAAATTATAAATGACCTGAATCCCAGATTAAGGTATGTGAAATAAAAGCAGGGTGTAGCATGGTCTGAATTATGTTGAAGATAATCTGGCAGAAGTACAATAAGTTAGAAGATGGAGAAAGGGTATATGGTGGAACCAGTTAAAAGGCTACTGCAAGTAGTCCAGGCCAGAGACTTAAACTACAATAATGGCAATGGAACCTGAGAGCAAGGGATTGACAAGAGATCTGACTGCAGAGGATCAATAAAACTGGTGGCTAGAAGCAAAGTAGAAGGACAATTACTAGATAACCTAGATGACTAGGAGGATGAAGATACTGTTAACATAAATGGTGAAAACATCAACTAATGTGACTAGGAAGACAAATGCAACAAGAACCCTTTCATTATAGTGAAATTCTAATTTGCTTTCACTTGTATCTGTGTGTGTGTGTGTGTGTGTGTGTGTGTGTGTGTGTGTAAATAAGACAAATACACATACATTATTCATATATATGCACAAATACTTGTTTTCTGAAGAAAGAATTATATACAGATACATTACACATATCTTACAACTGGTATCTTGGCAGTTTTGAAAACTCCTCACTAAAGAATGGCCTTTAAAATATGTAATAAAATGTAACAAATACTGAAAATGACATCTGTTTTAGAAGAACAATATGGTTAAACAAAGGTAGATAGTTTCTGTAAAGATCACTGTGTTCCATTCTATTCAACTCTGGCATAAAGAACTAATTTTACTATCCATTATAGAAAGATCCCTTAAAACAGAGAAAACAATAAAAAAGAGTGTAGTGTTTTAAAAGTTCAAACCATTCTTAGTTTACACTTACTCTCTGTAACTCCCATTTCTCAATAAGGTGTTCTACTTCACCGCCAAGAACTGTGGTGTTAGAATCATTCAAGAGCAGGAATCCATTTTTTATGTCCACAACGCCTGAAAGCTTAACTTTAGTTCCAGGTGGTGTGTTCAGGCTAAAGCAAAGGGAAAAAAAAGAGTTAAAACACATTTAAGCTCCTTCCCCAAACTGGAATTCAGTCTTATACTGTGACCTGGTAAAATTCTTCAAAATGTACTAATGTGAAAACTATTTTTCAGGTGACTGGCTATATAGTGTGAATAGGTCATCAGGGAGGAAGTCAGAAGACCAGGTACAGAAGACTGTCACTTTCTACCTTAATTTTTTTCTACATGTAAAAAAATATGGATGGGGACTCCCCACTCGGTGGTCCAGTGAGTAAGACTCGGTGCTCCCAATGCAGGGGGCCCAGGTTTGATCCCTGGTCGGGGAACTAGATCCCGTATGCATGTCGCAACTAAGAGTTTGCATGTCGCAACTAAGAGTTTGCATGCCGCAACTAAGGATCCTGCATGCTGCAATGACGATCCCGCGTGCCGCAACTAGACCCGGAGCAACCAAAATAAATAAATAAATAAAAAATAAGTAAGTCAGTAAACAAACAAACAAACAAATAAAAAAGTCTGGATAATAAAAATCACAGCTCACAAACTTACAGTAAAGATAAATAGAATAAAAGATATGAAAGTACTTTCTCAACCATGCCATGTTGTATAAATGTAAGATTTGCCCTTTATTCCCCCCTCTGAGCTTTGTGCATTATTGCAAAGATATACTATGTTATAAAATTAAATTTCAATACAGAAGAGATATCAAACCAATAATAATCTTAGACATTTAACAGCTATGTGAGTTACTGTAATCCACATGAAACAATGCTCTTTTTGGTTAACTATCCAGTTAAAGATCAAATGAGAGTTATTTACTCTAAAGCATACTGACTTCAAAAGTATTTTTTCATAATAGGTTAACATTATCAGATGTGGGGCAAACATTATAACACCATGACCCCTTTTACAAAAACAAGAGAAAAGATGTTTACCCTCTTATCAATCTTTTAATAAAGGATCAGTGGAGAAATCCATTTCATCACATAGGTTTAATCTAAAGTAAAAGCACATATACCAAGCCCCAATGCATCTCTTCGCACACACAGCAAGGGGTAAAGAACTCCAAATAGGAATAAAGATAGTCCTAAAACACTTAGGATAAATTAGAAAATCATGCTGAAAGACTTCACATTGTCACTTTTTTTTTTTTTTTTTTTTTTTTTTTGCGGTACACAGGCCTCTCACTGCTGTGGCCTCTCCCCCTGCAGAGCACAGGCTCCGGACACGCAGGCCCAGTGGCCATGGCTCACGGGCCCAGCTGCTCCGCGGCATGTGGGATCCTCCCAGACCAGGGCATGAACCCACGTCCCTCGCATTGGCAGGAGGACTCTCAACCATTGCGCCACCAGGGAAGGCCCCTACATTGTCACATTTTTAAAAGCTCATAAAATTCACCATGTGCTGATGAGTGCAATAGCAAATCAATGAAAGCACTGGTATCTCTGGTCTATTTTTAAGAAAGACGGTTGATAAAATAGTTATTAAGAAGAAGAAATAGAATATGCCTATTTTTAAGGTTTCAAAGAGCCCATATGGAGTAAGACATTATCTGGTAAAAATTATTCTGAGGACTCCAAGCTTAATCATTCTTAGTCATCCTATGTAACTTAGAAAACAAATGGTCATGGACAGCCTTGCCTAACCTAACTCGTAAGTAGAGAGCTGTGTGGTGGTAAATGTAGGCAACTTACCACAATGTCTATCAAACTTCAAGATCAGTGACAACTGAATACACTTACACTAAGTGAAGTTTTTCCCAATTCCAGGTAATCAGCAAATACATATTTTCTAACTCTATAGTCATCATTTAGGGATAAATTAAAAAACTAAGCACCAAGGGTACCAGGCTGCTATACTCTTTACCTCTAAAGAAATTATTAATGAATTACATCATTTATATAAGACCAATATGTGTTCTTTAAAACCATTTTTCACCAATAATTTCTAACACATTAGTAAACTGGAAATGAAATGAAAATGTAAAAAACACAAATTAGCAACATAAGAAACTACAAAAGACCTTAAAAAATAGCAAGCAAATTACAGGGGCATTTAAATTATGATTTTTAAAACTAAAAGCTAATCTGAAAGCAGATAATGAGCTAATTTTTTATGTAAAATAACTGTACCTTTCCCAAACTCTTTCTCTAACAGGTTAAGAAGGAAAACATGGTGAATTACTTGAAGTTGGACATACAATTTCATTAAGATAATTGATAAAGAGTTCTATTCACCAAATTAAATTACAGTTCTATTCCCACAAAAGAATAAATAGGTGCTAAAATTTTAATATAATTTTTATTATGTCACCTTCAGGGCCATAACTAACTCTTACTCAGAGAGCATACTGTGGCTTAATTAATACTTTATTCGCACTCCAAATTTCCTTTATTCTCTCTTCATTGAAATTAAAAAAAAAAAAACAGAACAAAAACAAAAATACAGTGAGAAGTGGGGCTGGAGGTAGGATAGATGAATGGAAAGAAGCATCCCAGAGAAATGCAATGTCCAGTACAGAAAACACATTCTACACCAGTTCCTGGTTTATCCTCTCTAGTGAGTTCTTCTACCTTCCTTCTAAGATAACCAATAACCAAACTTATTTTGAAAATGGTCTCCCAAATTGTTCATACGTGAGAACACTTCTGTAAGCTGTTGTTTTTACAGCACCAAAAGTAGACATGCTACTTCAATGATGAGTGAATGAGAAAGTAGCAACATTTTTTTTTTCAACTGTCAAACTGTAATAAATTCAACAAAAGAAAACAGCCTAAGGGACCCTCCTCTCTGGGTTAATCCTGTGTTTTCATTTACCTCAGAGAAATATATAGCAGTAAAATGAGAGAATGAGCCATTACATGGCAAGTCTTTCTTCTCAGGCATCTGTGAACTCCCTTGGAGGGGATCTGATTAAATTTGTCAAAGGAGAAAAGGCTGAGTTTCCTTTTATGGAAGTTTCTCCATAAAAGTAGGACTCTTTCTACTCTTCAAAAAAAAGACAACATAGGGCTTCCCTGGTGGCGCAGTGCTTGGGGGTCCGCCTGCCGATGCAGGAGGCGCGGGTTCGTGCCCCGTTTCGGGAGGATCCCGCGTGCCGCGGAGCGGCTGGGCCCGTGAGCCATGGCCGCTGAGCCTGCGCGTCCGGAGCCTGTGCTCCGCAAATGGGAGAGGCCACAGCAGTGAGAGGCCCGCATAACGCAAGAAAAAA